ATTACCTTCCTGCAATGTGCTGAACATAGATTGCTGTGCCTTAGGGCTTGTTTCTGAATGCTGTTTGTTTTACTTTAGAAATATTTCTGAAAATTCCAAAGTGCCCTTTATCAAGTATGTAGTCTGAATGAGGTGCTGTTCCTGTGCAGATATTCAGTTCATCCGTCTTAATTTTGGGGATCAAAATTAAACTAGGGAATGAAAAAAAGGTTTAGAGGATGAACACTGCAGCAATTGTAGTAAATATGAATGACAGAGCACAACCTGATTTTGAAACTAGCCATCACACTAGTCTCCTTGTGTAGATGGACTGGATATTTACCACCAAATATATTAAGCCATTATATTTGACTCAAGTTCTTCAATTACTGTGACATTAATGACCTTTGGGAGTTGGCTCAGGAATTATTAGCACATTTCTTAGCACCACACAATGTTTAAATAAATAAATTAGAGGGAAAAATATTATATTTAAAAGAATATGCCTTGAAGCTTTATTCTATAAATACATGGGTCCACGAAGAAAAGATATATTCATATAAGGATAAAGAGATAAGGTGGGCTAGCAATATTGGCCTTTTTTTTTTCTTCAGTAAGTTTTAAATCCAAGGGGGAAAAATACTTCACCAGGCATAAGGAAGAATTTCCTGGGGGTATGATAAATGACTATCTGCTAAGAGATTTGAAACAGAGAATGGATGGGCATCTGAAATAACAGTGTATTTGCTGCATTAGTGGGGTATTGGACCGAGCCAGAAGCAGGAAACATACTTTAGATACTATTAAACTACAGCTTCCAGCACTTCTGCCAATTGGTTGCATTAGTTGAGTGGCTGGCATTACCAACTACAAGACTGAGTTTGCTATCAGTATAGAATCATTTTTCCTTGTATATAATCCTAATCTGATAAATAAATGGTAATTTGTAATTTTTGCAATTTGTCTTCATCTAAAAATGAGATACCCTTTTCTTATGTTTCTCTCTCTGGCAGTAAATACAAATCTTGCAAGAAGATTCCATTGTTTGACATATAATAGGAAAACATTATATATTATATAAAATTATTGTTTTAGTCATTCAGTCATGTCTGACTCTTGGCGATTTTATAGGTGCTTTGCATGCCACCCTGTCAAGCTTAGCTACTTTCAGTTATTGGGTGTTCATCTTTGTATCACATGTTATGTTATCAAGCCAGCAGGTTCTTTGCTTGCCCCTTTTTCTTGTTTCGCTAACCTCCTAGCGTCACTGACTTCTCTAATGAATTCGCACACATGAAATGGGCTAAAGTAAATCAGACATAGTCTTATGATTGTAGTTTCTAGTGATGCGTTTGGTTTCATTTGATTTAGCATCTCTGTTAGTTTCTCTGGCTGTCCAGGATATATGCAATAATTTATATCAACAACACAATTCAAAGGCATCAATTCTTCTTTGATCAGCCATTCTTAGTATCCAACTCTCACACTCATTCATCATTATAGGGAAGACTAATGCTCTAACTAGCCACCTTATTGTTTTTTTTAACAATAGCTTTGCTTTTCCAGATCCTATTCCAGAATAAGAATACAATATTAACCACTGTAGTGTGGCCTAAGGTTATCCGGCGTTTGATTTCAGGAGTGGAACTGCCATCATGATTCATTTTTGATGCAAGGAAGATAAACTGAACTAATTCAATTTCTTACTTATTGATTTTACACATCTCATGTCCATCTGCAACTGTTGTCTTTATCTTTGTTTTCCTGATGTTAAGACTCAATTCTATTTTTTAACTTTTATTCTTGATTTTTTAAATAATATTTTCCAAGTCTTCCTTACTGGCATTGTATCATCTGCATATCTCAAATTATTTATGGTTCTTCCCCCATTCTTCACTCCAAAATATATATGAGCCATGGTGGCACAATGGTTAGAATGCAGTATTGTAGACTAACCCTGCCTACAGTCAGGCGTTTGCTCCTGACTGGCTCATGGTTGACTCTGTCTTCCATCCTTCAGAGATCAGTAAAATGATGAGCCAGATTGTTGGGGGCAATATAGTGGCATTTGTAAACTGCTGAGAGTGTGCTGTAAAGTACTGTGGAGCAGTATATAACTCTAAGTGCTATTGCTATTACTATATAGCAGTGATGTGTGGTGAGGTTTATGGCTGGTGAGGCAAAAAGAAAGACATAGCTCACTCCCCAGCGCTTGAAAGCGGGCAAAAGACGCCCTGCCGCTATGTCTGACATAGAGGCGTCCCGCCTCTATGTCGGACATAGCGCCGGGGAGCACGCTATGTCTGCCACAGAGGCGAGATGCCTCTATGTTGGACATAGCAGCAGGGCGTCTCTTGCCCACTTTCAAGAAAGCTTTCTTGAAAGCGTCTTTTGCCCGCTTTCAAGAAAGCAGGCCTGCTTCTTTGGTGGACACAGCACCGGGGCATCTGAAGCGTCTGAAAGCCCTGCCGCCGTGTCCAAAATAGAGGCGTCCTGCCTCTATGGCAGACATAGCACCAGGGCAGCATGGCGGCTTTTGCAAAGCTGCCCTGCTGCCCCGGCGCTAGAGTCGAAAGACGCCTGGCTGCTATGACCAACATAGAGGAGTCTGCCTCTATGGCGGACACAGCGCCGGGGCGTCCAAACCGTCCGAAAGCCCTGCCACTGTGTCCGACATAGAGGCATCCCGCCTCTATGGCGGACACAGCGCCGGGGCATCCGAAAGCCCTGCCGCTGTGTCTGCCATAGAGGTGTCCCGCCTCTATGGCTGACACAGTGCAGGGGTGTCCGAAAGCCCTGCCGCTGTGTCCGACATAGAGGCATCCTGCCTCTATGGCAGACATAGCGCCGGGTCGTCCAAAAGCCCTGCTGCTATGTCCAAAAGCCCTGCCGCTATGTCCAAAAGCTCTGCTGCTATGTCCAACATAAAAAAAGTGCCAGCCCGTGCGCCAGCAGAGGCAGGTAACACACACACACACACACACAACTTACAATAATACAATTATTTACAAATTACATTAATTTTGAATTCCTCCCCCTCCTTCCGACCCACACACCTTTTCCCGCTGTTTCACAGAGGATTTCAACTCTGCTCTTGTCTGCCATGATGAAAATGTAAAAACGTAAAAGGAAAAAGGCAAGAGCTGCTGAGGTCAGGCTGGGTTAGCTGCTGCCAGAGTCCCCAATGGATGACTCTGCTTAACTGTTTAAAAAAGCCTNGTGGGTAAAATGAGGACCCAGATTGTTGTTGGGGGCAATATGCTGACTCTGTAAACCGCTTAGAGAGGGCTGAAAGCCCTATGAAGCGGTATATAAAAATCTGCTATTGCTATTGTTATTGCTATTGCTATTTTACATCCCATTTTCAGCAAAACAAACTGGCTGGTCACATGAGTGACCCATTTTATGACATCATGACTTATGACCATAATGGGCAACTCCATGATGATCGATGTCAAGAGCTACCTGTAATGAGAAACATAGATGTACGATACAGAGGTGGAAAGAACTTGTTGTCATGAAGGAAAAAGGTTTAACTGGTGATCCCAAAGGGTTTTTTTCAAGAGGCAACTGGACTTCCTTGTTTTTCTTGGAAGACATTTTGCTTCTCATCCAAGAATTGCTTCTTCGGCTCTGACTGGATGGTGGGGAATGCAGCTTCAGTCAGAGCTGAAGCAGCTTCTTGGATGAGAAGCAAAACATCTTCAAAGAAAAAGAAATAAATCCAGTTGCCTCTTGAAAAAGCACCTCTTGGACAATGATGACCTGGATGACTGAGAATCTCCAGTTTAGCTGGTGAGGAGGTGATATTTTCAATAAAACAATCCACCATTGATAGAAGGTGCAAGTTTTATACGATTTAATAAATGGAAAATTCAGAGCCCTTATAAAGTTGCATAATCTGCCTATTCTATTCTATTCTGTTCTGTTCTATTCCTACCCATCCCATCCCACTGTTAGTATTTCTTCAGTCCCGTCCTATTCATGTTGTATACCATAACTTCAGTATGTTCATTTTGTCTGAAAAGCTTCTCCTTCCTTCAAACCGTAGGCTGGCTTGTTAATCTCTCCCTGACTGACTCTGCCCAGTTTGGCTACCTGGATGCAGCTGTCAAAAGAGAGAAAACGGGCAGAAAACGGGCAGAAAACGGGCAAGGGCAATCAGGTAACAAGTGCGACATAACATGCCGGCGTCCTAAACCATAACATCTACGGTAGTTTAATAAGGCCCACATTCTGAGAAGGAACCAGTTCCATAACGCCACCCGCTGGACACCCTTTGAATTGCCTCCCCTTCAAAGACAGCCTTCTAAGCCATCATCACCCTCTCTCTTTTTCAGTTGAGTAATCCAAAACTTCCTGACAAATTCTTCCCTCTGAAGTTGCTAATGCTGGCTCCTTCCTCCCCGTCTCTAAAGGCAATGATCACCCCACCCTGGCATGGTTGACTCTCTGCTAAAAACCGCAGGCTGGATCAGTCACGCCTCCTTGGCAGATAGGACAGGAAAAGCAGGGGGAGTCATGGGGGAAGCGGGGTGAGCTTTAAATACCAATCCGATGGGCTGGGAGCTGCAGTCTTGAAGAGGCGCCTGGACTGCAACAGAGAGAAAGGTGAGGTGAAGGGCCGTTCTTTTGCAGCACACCAAGATCTCCCTAGTTCTCTTTCCCACCCCAAGGGGATCCCTCTGTAAGCTCCCCACTTTTTTGAAATTTCAGCTGAAACATTTCCAGGAAGACCTTCCCCTACTTTTAACTCCATCACCTTCTCCTTTACCCATTTTTTTTTCTCTGTGACACCCAGTAACCTCTGATGTTAGAAATGGTTGTTCAGACAGGTTGTCACCCCGAGCTCTGCTAAGGCTTTTTTTTTTTTTTCTTTCAAGTAAATATCCCAGGCTGCGCCGGGTGGTGATAGAGGGTGTTTCCTGTATGAAGAAGCCACCGTAAATGAATTGAGCAAAATGAAACCAGAGTCTTTCCTCACACTGGGCTCACTCCTTCAGTCATCTAACCCTCAATTTAGGTCCTCCCCTGCCAGCCCAGCCCATAACATAAAATACAAAGAGCCGTATTCATCCAGGCAGTAAGGAATTCCCCTCCTTGGTCCCCAGCTGTATTATAAAGAGGGAAACCAACAGTTGCCCAAGTCCAGGAGTTTCTGCTGGTACTTCATAGCTGATGTTTCCTTTCACACCCCTTCATTTCCTGCCGCTTCTTCTCCTGGAATAACACTTTGTCTCTGTCCTGCAGGCTGCGTCTGAGTGACTTCTCTCCTCGCCTCAAAATGGATTCTAAAATGTGCAGATTCCTTGCGGTCGGCGTTTTCCTCCTCAGCCTGAAGGCAGACCCAACCGCCGCCTGTTCCTGTGCCCCTAGACATCCTCAGACTGCCTTCTGCAATGCTGATATGGGTGAGTGCCTGAATCATAGACACAGTAATAAAAATTCAACCGTCCTCTCTCTCCTGTGCCTTATCTCATTCTCTCAAGTTATCACTTCTGCCATAGCCTATCAATCTGCTATCTATCCCCCACTTATAAATTTCGCTGTGATCTGCTATATACTTACAAATTGTAAAGTCGTGTGCGTGTGTCTGTATGTGCGTGTGCGGTTCCAAATACGGAAATGTTTTCTCAATAATTAGGGTCTTTTAATCTTCAGCCACCCTGAAGGACACAGTAGGTTAAATTGATGGTTTCACATTACCTTACAAGCTACACTAACTAATCATTAGTAATAACTTCCTAAGGAGCTGCTGGCATAAACTGCTTGATAGTGGAACAGTTTCCCTTGGAAAGTAGCAAATTCTATCGCTCTCATTCCCCCCCCCCCCCAGTTGTCTAAATCAGGGGTCTCCAGCCTTGGCAACTTTAAGCCTGGGAGTTGGTCAGGAGTTGAAGTTCACCAGGCTTAAAGTTTCCAAGGTTGGAAACCCCTGGTGTAAATGACTACCTATCAGACAAATAGTTATTTTCACCATCAGCAAATGGTTGGACTTGGTGACCCTCCTGGGGTGAATAAAGTTGTAAAAAAAAAAAAGCTGTGAAATAGTATCGGGTGAAAAACAAACAAACAAATGGGATTGCAATTGGTAAAACTGATGTCTCATCTCCTTCCTCTTACCCAAAACCCTTGTGATTTCTAGCAAACAAAAGACAGAACATGAGTTCTGCTGGATAAACTACCTGTCTGTAACCGTCTGTTAAAGCCAGCATTTTGAGCCCTATAGTATTTAACTAGATGCCTCCAAAAACCCACAAGAATCTCTATGCTTGTTTCCCAGCAACTGGCGCTGAAAAACATGCCATCACTGGTCCTAGAAATAATACATAATGATCATGATTTGTAGCCATAATGTTCACATTTATAGGAAGGGGAGGTTGAAGGACTTTTAGAACCGCTATAAATTTATTATTCTGGAATACTTCCAATGAATAAAGGCGGAGAATATTTCTACCCATCAACTCCTCAGCCTATTACAACTGAAATAAGATTGCCAGATTCCCCCCCACCCCTCTTTCTGGCAGAATTTCTGTAATTTTCCATAGCAGCCTAGTATAGATTTTATGCCATTCTGCCCACCTCCACTTTAAAATTTTATATATACCAGAAAACTTTCCTTTGTTGGGCTATACAGATCAGGCGATTGTTAAAGGCAGAGGAGATGGTTCCCAACCTTGCTAAATAAATTGGTAATCCGAATAGAAAGTTGTTTGTATATCAGGGAATACTGAGGTTTTATCTATTTTGGCAGTTTGTGGAAATATCTAAATATAAGAAGTTATTTCCTTTGAAATCTTATTAAGTACTATGATATTATGCACATACAAAACACAGATGTTTAGCACTGTTCCTATAAGGTGCTCTTAAATATCATCTGTACTACCTTTCCTTTATTCAAAGGAATCAATCCACATATTCCTAGAAGTTTATTATTTACCAGGTTGGAATATCTCTTCGTAGAAAATTTAAAACAAGTTAAATAAATGGACAAGTTTAATCAGAATGTCCAATTCTAATGCACAAAATATTTTCTATTCAACCATTTTGGCTTCATTTTTTTAAACTTTTTGAGATTTTTCAATTTTGTTTTCATTGTTTGAAAAATGCCTGGGTTTTATATAACATTCAGGCAAGAATAAGAGAAATAGCTGGAAAAAGAACAAGTATAAAGATTCACCTCTGGGTAATGAAATACCTACTCAGTCTGTTTTAATGCCTTTAGCACAAGGATAGGTAATCTCTGATTCTTTGTATATCTGTCTTTTAATTCATATCCTGCCCTCCCCTCATAAACTCAAAGCAGCAGCTATAGTTTTCCTTTCCTCCAATTTATCCAGACAATAACTCTGATTAGGGAGCTGAGATGATATTCAGAATCATGCAGTGAACTTCCAGATGGTCACATTGATATTAAATTAGAACAAACTGATATTAAATTATAACACAAATTTATAGTTTTACTACAGTTCAGAGTCAGACTAGATCCCCATGCTAACTATTCTGACCAGTTCTGGCCACATTCACATGATTTTTTTTCGTTAGAAAAATATTGTGTGTACGCCCTCAAGTAGTGTCCCATTGCAGCTAAGAATTAGTCATTTAGGAAAGGCCTATCAAAGCAGAGTTTCATAAGGGTAAAGCTACTTTAAAACAAAACACAGATTCACAGATGTCCTGAAACATTAGCCTTTTGACATCCTTACAACTAAACAAATAAGAGCAGAATATATTGCCATGTGGGAGAGATGGGAGGAAAACAATATATGGGAATGAATAGCGTTCAGTTTGCAATTATAACAAACATTTGCTACATCTTAGCATGATGTTCAAACATAACTTTACATTCTTCAGGTCAGTCCCATCACCTGCCCTCTGGTTCTTTTAGCTAGAGATAACTGAATTTTAAACCTGGAATCTTCTGCATACCAAGCAGGTATTTTATACCTGAGCTCTGCTTTCTCCCAAACATAACCTAACAATATAGCGCTATACCAGTTCATGGTTTTCTGAGTCTGAATTCACAACACAGTGTGGTTAGCATAGCACACATAAATATTGTGAGCCACAGTTGAGAGGAGTTGAGAGAAGAAAAAGAAAGGAAACCCACAATTTTGCTCCTCCACATTCTTGTAGAACTAGATAGAAAATTTCACAGAAAGGAACTTCGGGAAAGGCATGGGTTGAGGGATAGACAGATTACTTCTTCACATCTTGCCTCTCCTGTAATTTTCTTTGGACTGATGACAATTTGCCCATGGCTTTATTACTGTGCACTCAGCAATAGGTAACTGAAAGTTCAAATTAACTTAACTGAAAGATACTGCTGTGGAAAAGATGTTTGTGGCTGTGTTGTTAGAGCTGAGATACATGTAAACGTGTTTTCATCTATTTAATGTCCTTCGTTATTCTTGTTACCAATTACTGAAGTGGTATTTGTGCACTAGCTCCTTGAGTGGTCTGCAGGGAAGAGTTCAGATTGGCTTTTCATTCTGAACTCAAGTCCTTCACCATCATATACCATCTCCACACAAACGTAGTACTCAAAACCTATTTTGGGAAGGTGGTGAGGAAAAAAGACAGAAACGCATTTCCCATCCTTTCTGAGAACTGTATGGTCACAGAATAATTCCCAATCCCCCCCCCCCAAAAAAGCTGATAATATAACTCGATTCATTGTATGAGAATCTGTGCAGTGGATATCTCTAAATCCTGAAAAGAATCCAGAGGTTCCAGAGCCGAGGTGGCGCAGTGGTTAGAGTGCAGCACTGCAGGCCACTTCAGCTGACTGCTAGCTGCAGTTCGGCAGTTCAAATCTCACCGGCTCAAGGTTGACTCAGCCTTCCATCCTTCCGAGGTGGGTAAAATGAGGACCCAGATTGTGGGGGTGATATGCTGGCTCTGTAAACTGCTTAGAGAGGGCTAAAAGCCCTATGAAGCGGTATATAAGTCTAAGTGCTATTGCTATTGATATTTCTTAATAAGAGCCCCTTGCCTGCTCTCTACAATCATTTCAAAATCACCCAAAATAAAAAGCTGAAGGACAACAACTGACCCTACCCAGGCAATTGTCTATCATTTTATAGCAAGGATTTGGGGATACCAGGCAGAAATTTAACTTTAAGGCTTTCAAGCTGGCTAAATCGAGCCAGGAGTTGTATCTGAGGTACCAGGAATTTAAAGGATCACAAACAATCCTTCACCTAAAACCAAAGAAATAATTAATGGTGAATGATAGAATCGAGGAAAATAAGATGTTACCTGCCACCTCTTTTTTTTGTAGTGATCAGAGGCAAATTTGTGAGTGTCAGCAAGCAGCATGTGAACGTTTCTGTGGGAGAACCTGTGTGGTGGGTACGCCATGAAATCAAAACAACCAAGGTAAGCACTTCCTCTTAGTTATGTCATAAATATTTTCTTCTCTTTCTGCAACCTCACTACAAGACTGGGAAGTAACTTACTCTGAGAGATTGTGACTGGTCCAAAATTACCAAATGAGTTTCCATGGTTGAAAGAAACCAAAAGACCCACTGACAGCTTCCCCCAAGGCTGCCTTTAAGGAGACAGTTAACAGAAGATTCTTTTTATAACGTCTTGTCCAAAAGTTCAAAGACACAAATATGTTTGTAAAATAATATGAAACAAAATTCACTGGTTATCCTTATCTGAAAGTCCTCGACTCTGCAATTTTCATTGTAAATTTCATGGATTCTGATTATTGCATTGTTATCTCATTCCTCCATAATTGCTTAAGTTTGAAAAAAGATGGTGGTATCCTATTAAAGTTACTCAAGCAAGCCTTTGGTCTTCACATACTTTAAGAAAATGAAAAACTGGTTGATATCTGTTGGTTCAATCAGCTTATACTGAATTAGATTTGAACTCTAGCCTGGCAGATACAATCTAAATACTTCTGGTAGGGTTATGAAAACCTCAAATCAAGTAGCAGCCTTGACTTTCTTTTTTCCCCTCATGGTAGTCCCTTCCTGGTCTGAATAATTCTCCCTCTTTCCTCCATCCCTGTACACATTCCTGTTCTTCTGTTTCTCCAGGTATACAAGGGTCCAGAAGAGGTGCAAGATGTCCGCTTTCTCTACACTCCAGCTATGGAAAGCCTCTGTGGTTATGAACACAAGGGCCCACTCAAAGGAGAGGAATATGTCATTGCAGGTACAGAATGATCCCTAAGACCAGGAAAACTGAAAACAAATTCAGACATTCTTATTTTTTAATCTTTGCATAGGCCTATAACATTATCATACATTTATGAGGGTTAACACATACAGGCAAGATCAGGAACCTAGCATAGGCAGGAACCAAATACACACATGAATCCCATTGGTAACAGCCACAAGGTTCCGAAATTTCTTTAATAATACTAATAGGTGAAATATCATTAAGTTTGCCAAATCTCATAAGATGTTGGTATTTACAGCTTAAATCTTATGAAATCTCAGGCAAGAATAGCAAGAAGCTAACAAGATTGTGACAATCTTCCAAGATTTTTAAACTAGCTAAAAGCTGGTTTTTAAATATATATATATATATATTTTACTAGGGACTATGGTATGGTGTGGTATATACCTTCATGGGCTCTAGTTTGAAAATCAGTAAAATATCCCATAGCTAAAGAATTTGGAGTTTTATTTTGGATGCTTAATAAAAAACAGTTTTGAGCATGATGCGAAACGTCTCAAAACAAGGCTATAATGTTCTTATGAAGAACATAAATAATGGGAGGAAAAAACTAAAGGAATCTGTTATACCTAGTTTAAAAGGAAGAAGAGGGAATTGCGAATCCCCCCTCCCTCACACACACACACAAATAATTTAAAACTCCAGTCTCTGAAAGACCCAACTATTCACAGTTGGTTTCAGTTTTAGTAGTAACCTAACGTTTGCCAATCTTTTGAGGCTATAATTCAATGGTGAAACAAAGCTTAACATTTCATAGGGAACTGGAAAAGACTTTTGTTTTTTAAAAATTGCCATTTTACAGTGCATATCAGACATTTAATTGGAAAAAAAAGATGTTGTGATGTCCCAAATTTATTATATTAGAAATATTAAACTGATAAGATGAAGCACAGCATGTTTCCAAGACAGAGAACTTAACAGGAAGTCCACAGCTAATTGTAAAATTTAGTTCTTTTTTTAGTCCTCCCCATTTTGCTGGCATTCTTTATATTATGGACTGTTTTCATTCATACCATTTATTTAAAATTTTGTCATATAATCTCACTCTAATCAAGGCAATCACCTCAAGAAAATGTATTTTGGTTGCAACGATAAGTATTAGAGAGTTACTCCCAAAAGAAAAACAATCACCTCTTACATTTAGAAAACCAGCACGTCATGGAAAAACTAGGCCAGGCCAAAGCTTTTCTCTCTAACATCTACTTTTTTTGTGCACAGTGATTTTTTTTCAACCAAGCATTCAAAACTAAGCCCCCACCTGCGGTCTGAAATGACAGAGTCCAGGAACAGTTTTACCCCATAGTGAGTGGCTATGCCAAGGCTGACCTCAACGCTGCTTATAACAAACAGCTCAAACAATATGTTTCTGCTCTCAGTGGGGGGAAAAGAAAAGAAAACCAGAAGTCTGTCGTTTGTTTTGTGGGAATGAGAAATTTAAATCCAGAATTAATTGCCCAAGATACAGAACACAAAACTTTATTACCTATCACAGATGCTTTAACCCCACACACACTAAATGCACAGAAATATATGTGCACATATGAATAGTGTGGGATTTGATTTCACAGTGTGTATCAGACTTTGTTAATTCAAATTTTGGAAGAAACCTTGATTTAATCTATATTCTGGTTTAACAATGAATATGCAATACAGGTTAGAACTATCTCATTTTTAGGTCATAGCTGTCTGGTCTTTGGTTAAACCATTCCAGTGACTCCCCTCCTACTTCCACTATCAAGTAACCCATACTGTTAAAGCATCTTTTTTCCCCAATGTTTAGCTAAAATCTAAGCTAATCTTTAGCTTCAGTTTTGCCTTTGGCATATTAAAGAATAAATATGCCTTAATAAAATATCTGGAGTGAGCAGGAGAGATATTTTATATAGTTCTCCTTTTAGTAAGTCAACGCAATACCAACAAAGGAAGAAGCCCACCAACTCCAAAACTCCACATGCATTACTCATTCAGGGGACCAAGCTTACAAAATTTTGGCAAAGGATTTGTCCTACAGGCGGAAGCCACATTTAATTTCATTATTCATCCCTGCAAGAGAAAAACTATACTGTATATAGTGCTCCATTTATGGTGGTGAAGATGTACAATATTAATATATTTGCAGGCTTCTCAGCAAGCCAAAGCTTGATTATAAAAGTCAAATCTGCAACTAATGCATCAGATAGAATGTTTATATTTCCTGTTTTAATCTCTCTCTCTCTCTGTCTCTCTCTCTCTCTCTTTCTTTCTTTCTTTCTTTCTTTCTTTCTTTCTTTCTTTCTTTCTTTCTTTCTTTCTTTCTTTCTT